TGTTTGACTTGCTATCAGCTTGGACCTCTCATCTTTTGGAATGTGAACAAAAGCTCGGCAACAAACACTCTCAAGTGCTCATAAGATACATCTTTACCGGTCCAAACTCTTTCTGGAACATCACCATTCAAAGGATAGGAGGGTGACAAATTGATCACGTCAACCGCTGTCTTCAATGCCTCACCCCAAAAGGATCTTGGCAATTTAGCTTGTGAAAGCAAACACCTTGTTCTTTCCACAATTGTGCGGTTCATCCTGGGCAACGCCATTTTGTTGAGGAGTCTTCTTAACTTTTTGGTGTCGAATACCTTGGCTACGACATACTCATCAAATGGCCAATGTATTCACCACATTGTCTGATCGGATGCACTTCAATTTGCTCCTGTTTCTCTTTCAACCATAGCCTGAAAATGCTTAAATACTTCTAGAACTTGATCTTTAGTTTTTAGAAAAAAGCCCAAACTTTCCTTGAATAATCATCAATGAAAGTAACAAAATAAAGTGCACCACCATGTGTTCTAACTTTAAAGGACCACAAACATCTGAATGGATCAACTCCAAAATATTTTCTTTTCTAGAAGCAACATTTTTATGAAAGGAAACTCTATGTTGTTTACCGCCAAACAATGAACACAAGTTTTAAGATGTGTACCTTCAAACCGGGTAGAAGCTCTTTCTTGAACAAAACTTGCAGCCCCTTTCACTCATGTGGCCAAGCCGCTTGTGCCACAATTCGGTAGAAGTATCATCTTGAAGTGCATTGACAACACCTTTACAAATTTTTCCTTGCATCGAATAAAGTGTATGAGTCTTCTTACACTTAGCCACACCAAGGAACCTTTGTGAGCTTCCATATTCCATCACCAAATTTGTTGTTGAAGCCTTCATCATCTAGCTTCCCAGTAGAGATCAAATTGAGGCGAATGTCGGGAACATGCCTCACATCTTTAAGCAACAACTTGCAGCCCAAATTTGTTTCCAAGCAACATCACCCATGCCGATAATCTTGGACAAACCTTCATTACCCATTCTAACAGAACCATAATCTCCTGCAGTGTAGGTAGTGAAGAAATCAACTCGAGAAGTCACATGAAAAGAAGCACCAGAATCAATCACAATTGCTCTCTTGGCCCACAAAATTGATACAATCATCTTCACAAACGACCATGAGATCAGCATTGGTAGTAACTGCCGTTGTGTCTTCTTGCTTTTGTCCACACTTTTGTCACGCCTTTTCTCCTTATTCTTGAGCTTTCGGCATTCTCGCTTCATGTGCCCTTTCTCATGGCAATAATAACACTCAACGTCTTTCTTTGAAAAGAACATCTTTGATTTGTCACGGCTTTGATCACGACCATAGAGGAGTCTTACTCCCCCTTGTTTTGCTTCGGCCTCTCACAACGAATGCTTCCGAATGAGAGGAACCGCTGATTTTCTTTAGTTTCTTCATTCAAAGGCTACTAGTAATTTGGCCCATTGTGACAACTCCATCAGGTGCTGAATTACAAACTGTCACAACCAAAGTCTCCCAACTTTCGGGCAAAGAACTCAGTAGCATCAAAGCCTGCAACTCATCATCAAAAACAATTTTCATAGAAGCAAGTTGGTTAACAATACTCTTTATTTCATTCAAATGTTCCGGAATAGGGCTGCCCTCTTTATATTTTAAATTAACCAACTTACGAAACAGAAAAGCTTTATTTGTGGCTGATTTCCTATCATAAAGACCCTCTAATTTTTTCCATAAATCATGTGCTGAAGTTCAGTAGCAACATGTGAACACACTGTCATAATCATTGACGGATAACACCAACGGCTTTTCGATTAAGTCTATTCCATTCATCATCTTTCATACCTCGGGTTTGCCAGAATCACTCTCAATGGGTCCATATAAATCTTTACAAAATAATAGGTCCTCCATTTTAATTTTCCAAGTTACCCAATTGCTTCCATTGAAGCTAGACATACGACCCACATTCCCCTCCATTGATTTACACAAATAAATAGACAACATAACGTAGCTCTGATACCAGTTGTTAGGGAAATCAATGTGATTCCCCACAAGTAAATCAATCAATGGGAATAAAAACTAATGCGGAAAAATTAAATCAAGGCAACACAAAGATTTTACGTGGTTCCCTCAATGTGAGGTACGTCACAGGATCGAAATTCGATTCCACATCAACCAAATAAGTTCCAACGATTACAAACGAGACACTTAATGGTCTCACAAATACTTAGGTGATTTCAAATAATCACAAATAACAAGAGGGAAAGACCTCACCAATAGATGAACCAAAATCTTCAGAACCAGAATTGAAGAAGATCCAAAATAACGAACCAAATCAACTTCCACACAAAGCCGAATAAACCACTGTGCACACAAAATAAGCCGAGTACTTGGAAAACAAATGTTTGCAGCGCGCGTTTTGCTTTTTCTTCTAATCCCACGAGCAAAAAAACATAAACAATATATATATATATATATATATATATATTGTTAATCTAGGGTTTTGTAATCAAGCCCTAATTTATCCAAATTGAATTGGATCTCCACAAATATAATATATAAAAATATATTATACTAAACCAAGCCAAATTAAAACTCTTTTATAAATCAATTGGATCCCACACTCCAATAAGGAGGTATACCCAACAGCTTTTATACTATTAATTATTTACGAAAGGAATCAGATTGTCCAATTGGAAGACACATTTTATTCATGTTTTGTAACTTGTCTTATTTTATCATTAGTAGATGCACCGATGTTTTATCTAGATATTTTCCATCATATTAGTAATCTACTAATCTTTCAGAGTTAGTATCATCCATAATATACATTATACTTTAGATCTTTCTTTAAATTTGTTTATAGCTCTTTGTGTATTCTTATGAGAAAAGCAACTTAACCTTTCCAAGTAGCACATATTGGTCGACAATGTAACTAAGAAATGCTTTTAATGTCAGCATTTTGTTATAATCAGTTTGGCCTCATGGCTTTTCTGCTAGTCTAGTTTTTTCTGCAAAAGGCACGTGTATGCAAAAAAGAATTTGCTTCCAAGCATTGTCAGTATTCCACCACATATTCTGATATGTATTTGATTTTTTTTTTCCTTCTATAAGCATCTTGCAAAGCTGAAACTCACATCATCTATAATATGTCTATTTTGATATTTTAGTTCAATTCACCTATCATGTTTCACAAATTTAATCTGATTGGATGCCTCAAATTTGTGAGAAATCTTTATCCTAGATACTTCTTTGTTCCACAAATCTATGAAATGGACAGGAGCTTATGTGATGGAATTTCATAATTTGATGACTTCATTTCCAATGGAATTAAGAGACCAGTTGGAAGAAGCACGATTTTCATTCCTTCAAGGTGGATACATAGAAGATTTTGAACTGGGAGGTAACTTTGTTTGCTCTTTTGGCATCATTGTTTGTAGTAGTAATGAGTTTTTTTGGAAATAATTAGGAGAAGCAATGGTAGAGTCATGCATGATCTATTCAGACTTGGCTAGAGAGCGAGAAACAATTAAAAGATTGGTAAAACTTCTTATTATTTAGTTTATAATGTTTTTGAATAAAAGAGTAAATTTCTTCTAAATTGTACCAAAGGATGGCATATTTTGAAATTATCTCATGCAAAATAGTTTAAGTTGCCATCAAATGCATCTGAATTGGCTAAGCTAAATTAGTAGGGGACTAGAATGTCTCCTCCCTCTTGGAATTATTCTGTTTTTCATTTTATTTTTTATTATTGATTCTCCTCTTTTAGATTTCTTTTCTTTCCTTCTTATTTTCAAGAGTATTTGTAGAGGACAGGTCATTTTTTGGTACCATAGTAGGTCTAAGAATGAGAATTTACTGAGTATGAATACATTGTTTCAAATTTTTTGCTCAATTTTTATTTGCAAAGATGCTTTCAAATAAAAAAAAAAGGGTTCTGTGAACATATGAGCTTTGTATTTTATAATGGATTATAATGAACTGTTTATTTTACTTTTGTTAACTGCAATTTCGAACCTTGAGGTCAGGTTTTCTAACAAGAGGAGATTGATGCATCTTTTACTGTAACCTTGAGAATATGCAATGGCAATTGATTTTGGTCGATAAAGTTATATTGTATTTTTATGATTTTCCACAAGAGGATATTGATGCGCCTATTTTCGCCAATATGGCAATTTTGTTCTTCTAGGTTGTAAAGAAAGAACCCGCACAGAAACCCACTTCATACCTCAAATTATTTAGCTGTTTGTTTCCTTTAATATACCCCTTTCCCAAATCAGTAATTATTTATATTGATTATCCCTGCTGTTATCCAAAAGACAACCTAAAAGGATGGGTGAATTAGGTTTTTACAATTAAAAATTAATAATACCCTACTAAAAATTATGACTAGCACAATAGATAAATATAGTTAATGAAATAAAAATAATTAAAAACAAGTGTTCAAACAACTATGTCAGTTAATGATTTTAGTATAGTGAAAATGTGAAATATAGCTACAGCAATTTAAATAAAATAAAGAGATAAGGGAGAGAGAGGCAAACAAATTTATAGTGGTTCGGCTTCAACTCGGCCTACGTCCACTCCTCAAACTTCACTTGAGATTTTCCACTATGCTCTAGCTTCACGGAGGTGCTAGCAACCTGTTTACAAATGGAGCAATCCCCCACGGATTTTACAGAGACTTTCTAAGTTAAGAACACTGAGTGTACTACACTTTTACAAGGTTGAAAAGAAGGTGTTTTTACTTTCACAGAAAACTACAAGAATTATCTCTCAAAGATAGATATAAAAATGAAGCTCTGGTTTTTCTGTAAATCTCACACAGGAAAGATAGGCTTAAAGCTATACGTCTCAGTGTATAATTTCTGAAACAGGATGTAAACAAAAATTGAAGAACACTTCTCAGATAATTTTTCAGAGAATAAATATGAGTGATTATAGATCAAAGAATATTTTTTGGTTTTTTTTGTAACTTGTTTACATTAGAGGCTTTGGTATATATAATGAAACTTATAGCCGTTCATAGCCGTTGTAATCATTTGAATTTATAGCCGTTTATAACTATTGTATTCATTTGAATTTATAGTCATTTATAGTCATTGTATTCATTTGAATATTTTCCACTCCATCATTACTAATTTAAATATCTTCCACTTGAACCTATTGACCTGCTGCTGTGCTGAGCTGTTTGAACCTTTTGGTCTGCTATTGTGTTGGGCTATTTGAACCTTTATTTTAGGCTGTTTGAACCACGGATTTGGACATTATTTTTGGGTTGAAATGAACTCTTGATTTAAGCAAATATTAAATACATTCAAACAATATTTAGGATAAAAGTTTAGGTGAGAAATAATGGGACAAAATAAATTTTGATTCTATTTTTCTCTTTCAAATAAATTAAAACATAATTAAATAAATCATCAAAATAAATTTTGGATTTAAAACATAATTAAATAAATCATCAAAATAAATTTTGGATTCTATTTTTCTTTTTCAAATAAATTAAAATATAATTAAATAAATCATTAAAATAAATTTTGAATTCTATTTTTCTCTTTCAAATAAATTAAAACATAATTAAATAAATTATCAAAATAAATAAGTGTAACACCTGCCTTATTGATATGGCCATTTTAGTTTTTAGATTAGAAAACACTCTTCGAAAGGCAGGGGGAAATCTTTACCAGGTGATAATTTATTTTTCTGCTTGCTTTCGTGTCCATTAATTTACTTGATGGAAAACTCTCTCTTATTTATTTATTTATTTCCTGTTTTTCTATAGGCAAGACGGATAAAATCATACATAACCCAAATTTACCTTTTTGGTGTTTTTTTCTACATAGTACAGGAACATGGTAAATGTAATTAATGTTTCTAATATTTCAAATATTTGAATGTGGGTTATCAGAGACTAGTGAGGAAAATGAAGATGGAACTCTTGCCTTAGTGAAAGTAACAGAGAAGGCTCTTCAAGTGAGCGACAAGGACCCTAAATCTATAATCAAGGAAACAGCTAAATCTGGAACAGAGTATCTTGCATCTCAATCTTATCACGGTCTTGACATTCAAAGCAACAGTTCCTTAATGCTTTGCTCTCTTATCTCAATCTTAGCTCAATCTTGTTTATATTGGTTCGGTTTTCACTCCCTTATTGTTCTTAATGCTTGAAATGGTTGGTTTATTTTTTTATTTTTTTCTTGTTGCTGCAATTCTTGTTTCTTCAATTGATATTAGTGCTCAGTGGAAGACTTGGAAGCTACTGCAAAGTTGTATATTTCTTATTGGTTAGAACTGGCAACTACTCCATATGGTTCACCCTGGATGCCACAAAAATGTTTTGGCTTGTAGCCCGCCCTTGTGAAAGTCACTTTAAAACAACAGCTAAGATGAGAGCCTTGAAGGTTGTAATTGTTAAAACAACTTATGGGGTTCTATGCACATTTTTTTCGCAAATCACCTCTTTTAAATGTTATTCATCTCACACTGATGAGAGC